CTTCCCCTTTGCTTTTTCCACAAAAACGAATTCTAGCTTGCCTTCCGGAGACCTGCCGCCGAGGCCTGGGGGGTGCTCTAAAATGATGGCCTTAAGCTGTACGCCTGGCTGTAATAAGTCCATCAACGCAAAATTGATTTAGGCGGATAAAACGGTCACAAAGCTGGAAATGGTTTTGTCTGTATTTCACGATCCTCAACATCGTTTTGAACGTAACAGAATCGAAAGTGCTAAAGAGAATTGTGTGAGTGGTTTTTGTATCGAACAATCGCTTCAACAGCCCTATGTATCCTCATTTAGATCGTTCATTTGGTAATTCAAAGTACTTCGAAGAAAAAGTTCTACGTTGATAAGGGAGAAGTTTTCAACTCAGTTGACGAGCTAATCAAACATTTTATAAAGAATATTGTGACAGTTAGAGGGGTAACTTCATTTCTACTTCTCTGATCTTATTCTAGTTTATGTGCTTCGAACTGGCACATGAGATTAGCATGATTGCGCGCAGTGCATCTACTTGCACGGCCGCGCGCTTGGCAAAGCACAGCGCGAAGCGTGCACATGTGATGCTACTCCACATGCCATTTGCACGCATATGACTGCATATTAATTTTTTAGAAGAAAGTACAGCTTAAAAAGGGAATTACACTGGCTCGGTGGGAGTTTGGATTAAAAACCGTGAAGGTTGGTGAACGAATAGGTGTGAAAGGAGGTTGCGAAGTGTGCAAATGCACAATAAAAGTGAACGGAAACGAGATAGAGGCAGCTGTGATTATTGTAAGCTCATTTGCATTGGTGAGAGCTTGGTCCTTTGAAAACTACTTCTAGTAATTTTACAGGTAACAGGGTTGTCCCAACAATCTTGGGATGTTTTGAAAGATAAAGCACGTCAATGCCGCTTACTTCGAGAACTGAGACATCCTTGTGTTGTGCAATTTTACGGTGTCAGTATGTTGTCACCTCCATGTCGATTTCTTTGTGAATATGTGCAAGGTAGGATACTGTACCTCCCTTTTACAAGATTACATACTTCCAAATGTATAATTTCAGGCGAAAAGTTAAATTTGTATCTCAGTAGATGCAAAGGAAACCTAAAGAAGGACGAGCTACTACGAATGACAATCAGCGCCGCTTGGGGTTTGGACTACCTCCATTCGAAAGGGATCCTTCATCGTTGCCTCACCGCTAAAAATTGCTTTTATAACCAAAGAGTGGTAAGTGCATTGCTAAACCTTAAAAGATCCAACGGGATAAAAAGTAAGGTATGCCCCATACGTCAATTCAAGAGAAATCAGATTAGCTCCCTTGACATTGGTCACGACAGGCTCGCGTATGATTGTCACTTACGTGCTCGCAGTTCTCACTTACGCTTCTCCATATTATTGCTGACTTGGACAAGGTTATACAATAGATAGTGTAAAGTACAAAGCTGTGTTGATAAAGGAGAGGTGGTTATGGCTTCTGTTTCACCCAGTGGAACTATAGACACCTCGCTTTGAATGTCTCGTTCTGTGGAAACCAAAATACGACACACAAAGAAAGAATATATTTATTACAAGCAGAAGCAACTAACATATGTAAGGTTGAGGTGTGAGAGATACAGGTTCACATCTCAAGTCAAGCGTGGGGTTGATCTGATGAGCGGTCTGACGAATCTATGATTTTGGTGGTATAGGCCGCAGCTACCGTGAAAGGCTACGAGGGTTCCTCCATGCAGCCGCTTTTCCTACAGTAGCTTAACAAAATAATCCTCTCTTATAAGAAACTCACGTATGACCACAGCGGTCGCGTCGTTCGTGATGTCTCCGGATGCATCTCGTTGCTTTGGCAGTAACTCCTTACAAATCCCTCTCAAAACTATATCCAGCTCACTTTTTGCGGTGCTTCTTGCGTAAGCAAGTCCCTTTCTATTAGGGTCTCAATCTTCTTTTTGTAGCAAAAAAAAAAAAACGGTGTGAGGGAAGCGGAAGTACCGAATACCTTCAACCTTTTGGCATTTGTCGCCTTTTACTTCCGCTCGCATGTAATGGACACCTCCACTTTTAGGTGAAACTCTACGGCTTTAGCTTGGCGTTGAAAGCACTGGTACACACAATGAAATCTTTAAAGAAACTCCCAGTTCGCTGGATGGCTCCCGAAACGGTGGAAGCATTTCGATTCTCACAGAAATCCGATGTTTACACTTATGGGGTCTGCAAACGATATGTATGCCGTATGAGAAAGAATGTTGTTGAAAACAAGTATTCAGGTGCTAATTTATGAAATTTTTTCGCAAAAACAGCCATATGAAGGACAAGCAATTCAGGCTGCAGAGGTTAATGTGAGTAAGATTTACATTGTTGGATTAGCAAGGTCGCAAATCCTATAAGTGCTTTATTATAAAGTTCGCTTTCATCTTTGCGATGGGATTACAGATAAAAAAGGGCAATGTCAATGTATTTCCTGACAAAACACCAAAAACTATTGCAAATTATGTTATGGAGAAGTTGTGGGACATGCACCCTAGTAATCGGCCTAACATGCAGGCTGTGAGCGTAAAAGATCATTTTCTGATAGCTCTATGTTACAAATACAAGAAAGGTCTTTAGGTAGTAAAATTTCTATCGGAATACACTGGAATGGAACTGGAGATAAAGGAGCAAGGAGAGGTGCGAATTATCTCGAAAATAATATCATATATTCCAACTTGAATCCCGTCGCATTTTTAGGGAAAAATTCACCAGAGCGCCACAGCACCGTTTATGAATGATGTGGATTTTGTAACACCTAAGACTGAACTTGAAGCTGAAAGCAATGTGTTCGAGTCAGTGATGATTGGGGGAGGAAAACGCACGGAACCAACAAAACCACTGCCCAAACCTAAAGAGTCTCCTAAACCCATCAAAGAACCGCCACCTGCAAAGGAAGCGAAAAAGGACGAGAACTTGGTGATGCAGTATATACCTACACCTGAAGTGGAAGCAATTTCAGGAAAGCTGGATAAGACGCAGGAGTCCGAAAGTACCGGGCCGGGATATCTCGCTTCATTTTTCAATAAAACTGGGGATCTAATGTTCAATGTTGGCCATGCGCTTGTAAAGGCCATACAAGAAGAGGCTCTTGGAACTACGACCGAGG